GATTAGGTGCTGAGTTGTATTAGCAGTCAGTTTAAAACCTATTAGGTCAATATATAAAAGTGAACTGTATTAACTGGTGTCCCAGTATTTTTCTTTTAGAGATATTTTAAAATTTGAGGTACAATTCACATAGTATACACTCATCTTTTAAAGTTTACAACTCATTAGCTTTTCATATATTTACAAACTTGCATAACCATCGTCACTGTGTAATTAAAAACAGTCTTATCACTCCTTCACAAAAACTTTTTGTTTTTTCTGAGACAGGATCTCACTGTATAGTTCAGGGTGGCCTTGAACCTTAAACTCACTGTGTGCCCCACACTGACCTCAAACTCATGGCAATCTTCCTGCCTCAGCCTCCTGAGTCCTGGGATTACAGGCATGTGCCACCATGCTTGGCCAAAACTCATATTGACATAATTCCCCCTTCTCCCTTGGCCTCACTAATCTGTCTCTGAATTTGCCTATTCAAGTTATTTCATAAAAATGAATTAATATATGACCTTTTGTTTCTGGCTTCTTCAACATAGCATGTTTCTTTCCCTTTTTTTGTACTTGGGATTGAAACCAGGGCCTCTACACTGAGCTACACCCCCACTCCTTTTATGTTTTATTTGGAGACAGGGTCTTGCTAAGTTACTCTGTAACTGGGCTTACATTTATGATCCTGCCTCAGCCTTCCAGAGCGCTGGGATAACAAGCATACACCATATCACCTGGCTCTAATTTCTAGTATTTATCCATAATGTATTATGTCAGTACTTAGTCTTTTTATATAACTGAATGATATTTTGCAGTTGTGGAATATATAATTGTGTGGATATATGTCATTGTGTCTATCACTTCATTAGTTGATGAACCTTTGGATGTTACAGCAGTTTGTTCAGTGTTCATTTTGTGGGTAATGTTGCTGTGAATATTATTTGCGAGTTTTTTCGGAGAATGTGTGTTTTCAGTCTTGTTGTATACTTAGGAGTGAAATTGTTGGGTTGTAGGGAAACTGTTTAACTTTATGGAACTGCCAGTGCATTTTCCAAAGTGGCTGTACCATTTTCCATCCCTGTCTCCAATGTAGGAGAGTTTCTACAGCTTCAGTATATAATTTTTTTTCAGTACTCTGGGGATTGAACCCAGTGTCTTAGGCATGCTAGGCAAGTGCCCCACCACTGAGCTACATCTCTAACTTGAGTTCTAATATCTCTGTATCCTCCCTGATGCCAATACTTGTTATTGCCTGACTTGATTATAGTCATCCTGGTAGGTATGAATGATAGTTTTGGTTTGTACTTCTCTAATAATGATGTTATTATTTTTATGTGCTTTGAGGAATTCATTTTATCTTTGGAGAAATGCCTATTCAAACCCTTTTGCCTATATTTGGGTTTTGTCTTGTGTGTTCTTTTTTTTTTTTTGGTTACTGGAATCATAACTCAGGACCTTGAGCTTGCAAGGCAGGGACTTGTGTCACTGACATTATGCATCTGTTTGCAAACTTTCTAAAAATGAGATCTGATCACAAAGTTCAGGGTTCACAAGAAAATATCCCAATTCACATCCAAAATTCAAGATAACTGATACCAATTTCTTGACATTATCATATAAGAATTCTTTTAAAATTTTTATTTAGCGAATTTAA